AACCCTTACCAGAGGGGGTGAGCCACGGTAAAACGCCGCTGCATGCGGATGCTCTGGTTCATCATGAGTTTCCTGAAGAGGATGGGCGAGTTGCGGGGGGAGCTGCAGGGGGAGGCACTGGGGGAGGCCCCCGGGGAGCCATGCTTCGGGTTCAGCATTTCGGAGCCACAAATTAGCGTGTGTGGGGGGCCACATGCACAAGAGGCTCAGGCAGGCCTTCACCCTCCTGTTGAAAACTCTCCCCCCGGAAAATCACTTTGAGGGCTCCCCTGCCCACAGCGGGGCCCAGGCTGGCAGAGAGGGGGCGCGGGGGCCGCTGCCGTCACTTTCAGGCCATCAGTTTGATTGTGCGCAGAAGCTCTATGGAGGCTGCCTGCCCCTCTCTCGCTCTGGCTCCGCGCTGTGCTCTGGCTGAAGGTGAACGAGCGTGACCGGGGGGCCGGCGGGACGTTGCTACGCGGCTCCGTTTCCTGAGGGTCTCACAGCGCCGTCTCCCCGGGTCCCATTCAGAGAAGACAAACTGTCCGTTTGGTACAAAGCAGGAAGCGCATTGCAAACACAGCGCTCTCGCTCCCAGGGAAACTTTCCATTCCCCTCCCGTCCCTGCCTGGGAAATTAAACAACTGTCTGGCTCAGCAGATACTGAAATACGAAGCAAGCCCCCCTCGCTGCTCGGGTCTGGCACAGGGACGCTCGCTCCCTCGCCCGCTGCATGGACGAGCCGGGGCTTGCTGGGGCTCTCCGTGGAAGGGAGACGCAGCGCAGCACCCCCAGCCTTGCTGCTCCCCCACTGGGCACTCAGCCCTTTCCCCGTCAGCAACAGCTCCGGCTGCCTCAACTGCGGAGACGTTAAACTGCACTGGAATCTGGGGCAGGACCGGGGAGACTTTCCCGGCTCAGGATCGTAAACCACAGGGGCTGGATCCTCGGCTGGTGTAAATCCAAAGACTTCAGTGCGGCTACGCCAGTGTACGCCCTCTGGGGAGCTGGCCCACTGGCTTCCCCTGGCACCAGCTTGCCCGGGGGAGGCTCAGCTCAAGGTGTCCCCTCGCTCTGCCAGCCGCAAGGGCAGCCCCCTTCATTCTCCCAACCCAGACGGGTTCCCCCCGTGCTCCTCCCCTGTTCCCCAGGCACCCCCAGAGAGGCCCGGCAAGGAGAGCAGTGGGGCAGAGCCCCTCCCTGGAGCACAGGCAATGGGGAGCCTGGCTGGGAGCGCTACACTGAATCATAGACTATCAGGGTTGGAAGGGACCTCAAGAGGTCATCTAGTCCAACCCCCTGCTCAAAGCAGGACCAATTCCCAACTAAATCATCCCCACTGCTGCTTGCGCAAGCTTCATATACCACTTAAACATCCCACACAGCTGTGCCGGAAAAGGGACATCTCCAAACAGCCCCGCCAGCTGCAGCCAGGCGCAGCCCCACTAAGCAGAGTGGGAGCCCCACAGCCCAAGACAGTCCCCAGCCCTGCTCAGAACCTCCTCGCATGGCACTGCTGTACGGGGACGGGCCACACAGCAGCCTGCCCACCACAGCCTCCAGGCCATGCTGCTGGCCCAGGCCCCTTTCAGGAGCTCTGGGTCCCACCCCGCTCCAGCCTCCACCATCAGCGCCAGGCCCCAGGGCAGCGAGAAGAACACCTGAGCAGTGGGACCAGGCCCCAGGGCAGCGAGAAGAACACCTGAGCAGTGGGACCAGGCCCCAGGGCAGCGAGAAGAACACCTGAGCAGTGGGACCAGGCCCCAGGGCAGTGAGAAGAACACCTGAGCAGTGGGACCAGGCCCCAGGGCAGCGAGAAGAACACCTGAGCAGTGGGACCAGGCCCCAGGGCAGCGAGAAGAACACCTGAGCAGTGGGACCAGGCGACAGGGTTTCCGGGGTGGAGAGTCACTGGGGAGGGGGCAGGCAGCAGTGGGTCAGTGTCGCTCCCACGCAGGGAGATGCGCGATGTGGCTGTAGGCAGAGTCCCAGTGGCACAGCTGGGCAGCCGGGAGCGCATGTGGCTGGCTGGGCTGAGCGATCTCCAAGCCCCCAAGCCGGCACAGCCACCAGCTCCTTCTCTGCTCCCAGCGCCGCTGGGAAACTCACCCCCTCTGGCTGCACCGGCTCAGGAACGGCTCCCTGCGTCAGCCGCAGCCCAGACCCCACGGCAGAGCCCAGCTGGGCTCCCGCCTGGCTGCTGCCCAGGAACCTGCAGGCCAAAGCCTTGTCCTTGCAAACCCTCTTGGGCAGCAGAAGCATTTCCACGGACCTCGCGCTGCGGCAGCCGCAGGGGCCCCACTCACACCGAGTTCGTCCATCTGGGCTGTGGGTCAAGACAGACAAACCAACCAGACACGCTCGGCACCACCGGGCCTGGAGCGGTTAACACAGGAGGGCATGAAGGGATGGCTGCTTCCCTGCAGCCAGGAGCCCCTGGCCACCATCCATAGCATGTGGGGCCAGGAACCCCTCCCACCCCAGAGCGCGCGCTCTCTCTCTCTCTCTCTCACACACACACACACACACACACACACACACAGTCTGAACCCTGCTACCCTGCAGTGAAGGGGGGTGTGTGTGTGACAAAGTGGGACTGTTCATAATGTGGTCTTTGAATGCTGAGTGGGGAGTGTTGGCCGGGGAGTTTGGCTGGGACTGTCTGCACTGGGGATGGGAGACTGGCCTTGAGGGAGGAGACCTGAGCATGTAACATGAGAACCAGGAAGGGGGTTGGCGGCCAGGTGACACCTTTGCCCGGGAAATGGACAAAGGCTGGGGGAGGAGCCGGGGGAGGCGGAGTGAGACGCTGGAGGGAGTTTCAGTTTGGAGCTGGCTGGGGAAATGGAGGGAGGGCCCAGACGGGGCTCTGGTCTTCCTGCCTCCCCAAGATGGACCTGACTTAGGGGTCCTGTTCTCTGTACCTACAAGCTCTGTTTTAGACCGTGCTCCTGTCGTCTAATAAACCTCTGTTTTACTAGCTGGCTGGGAGTCACGTCTGACTGCGGAGTTGGGGTGCAGGGCCCTCTGGCTTCCCCAGGACCCCGCCTGTAGGGACTCGCTGCAGGAAGTGCATGGAGGGGCAGGGGAGGCTGAATGCTCTGAGGCCAGACCCAGGAAGGTCAAAGCTTCGGAAGCGTCTTGCCTGAAGACGGTCTGCTCACAGAGGAGGCTCCCCCAGAGTCCTGTCTGGCTTCGTATGGAGCAGTTCCAGAGCATTGCCCGGGGACGCCGTGACAGGGGAGCATTGCAGGCACTCAGCCTTGGAACTGGACTGGGGACCTGGGTTCCCACCTCACGACCCTTCCCAAGACCCAGGCCCCAGCATAATCCAGCCGTGGGGCCCCCGTTTCAGGAAGCTTGTACCGAAGCCCTGTCTCCACTGAACGTCTGCAGCTCAGATGACGCATCGTTAACTCACCAGCTCCCAGAGAAGGCCCAGCTGGCTGTCACCCCCACCCCCCACCTACTGCCCTGCAGAACCATCACAGGAGGGTCCTCCAGTGAGTAATGGGAACTGGAAACTACCCTCACAGCCGGCACCAAGCGGCTCCCTGGGAGGCCGACTCAGCAGGGAGGCCACGGACAGACTGGGCCCTGGGAACTGAGCTCCCCACGGTTGCCATGTCTAACATGAGTCACAGGAACATCCCGCTCACGCCGTTCCCGGTGGCTCGGGCTGTATCACAGCTGGGCAGCCGGGAGCGCACGTGGCTGGCTGGGCTGAGCGATCTCCAAGCCCCCAAGTCCGGACACAGCCCCTCGAGGACTGCGGCCCGGCAGGATCGAACCAGCCGCAGGCAGCCCTGCACCAGCCTCGTCGAGTTCTCTGAGCAGCAGGTAAAGGAGAGCTGGTTGGCAGGATTTACTGGCCCTGGGGCCAGGCCTGGCAGCTGCAGCAGCGAGGGATGAAGTCCCAGCGCTGGATCCAAGCGCTCGAGGGGGAGCCTGCCACACGGGGAGAGCTGAGGACTTGGGGTGAGCTGCAGTGCCGCTGTGGGGTGGAACCTGCCCTCCCCGTCTGCTGGCAGGCAAAGCTGGGCACTGAACCCTGCTGTAACTCGGGGTGCTTGGGGCCTGGGAGCAGGGCAGCAAGAGACCCCACATTAGAGCATTCCCCCTGGGGGGACGCAAATACACAATGACCCAAACCTTCTAACTGCCTTTGGGCAGCCAGCCTGGCACCGCCTGCCCAGGAGAGATCAGCAGCCCCTTTTGGATGGCTCTGGTCCCCTGCTCCCTCTGGGCAGCTCTGGAGGGGGATCACGCAGCCAAACCCAGAAACCCCGGTGCAGGCAGCCCCCAGCACACGAGTGGCCGGATGCAAGGCTCTGACCCACTATCACCATCACAACGCACTGCTCTCGTGCCAGGCGCTTGCCTGGTGCTGCCAGGGCCAGGACTGAGAGAAGCCTCTGCCTGGAGAGTTTGCCAACTCCGCTACCTCCACTGGCAGTGCTCGGAGCCGGATCTTGGCACCTCACGTGACTCACCCTTGTACATGCACCCGGCAGGAGACAGCCCAGCTCTGCTGAGCTCCTCCCTGCGATCCCATTGGTGACTGGAAAAAGGCTAAGGTAGTGCCCATCTTTAAAAAAGGGAAGGAGAAGGATCCGGGGAACTACAGTCCCTGGAAAAATCATGGAGCAGGTCCTCAAGGATTCAATTCCGAAGCATTTAGAGGATAGGAAAGTGATCAGGAACAGTCAGCATGGATTCACCAAGGGGAAGTCGTGCCTGACTAA